AGTCAAGTATAAAAAGAAACACACCCATTATTACAGAAGTGAGAGCACAGAGAGTGGGTGGCTAGGCTCTGAAAGGTAAACCAAGTCTAGAAAGTGGAGACCAGTCCTGCCTAGACACTGCGAGTCAAGTCAAGGTCATACTTTCCTTCAGCTGAGCCCCTTTCTACTGCATAAAGGTAGCCTGACCTCAGAAGTACTTTAGCATTCATAAAAAGATATGTGGCTCTAGAAAGTTCAACTAGAGCCCTTTGCCAGAAAGCCTCAGCAGAGATAAGCATACCAGAGCTTGCCAAGACTGTGAAACCCTCATTGATCTTGACAACTTTGTCAAAGAACCCCATGGGCTTCACTTGAATGGAGCTGGCCCAGTTCTTTCTGTGTCTGTGCATTCTGAGCCAAATGCTCCCGTGTGGAGCAGGAGAGGAAAAGGAACTGTTCCTGTGGAGCTTTCATCTCCACTGGGTTGTTTTCTCTTCCTGGCACCTCTGACAAGGGAGAAATATGGGAGCAAACAACTCCTCTTTAGAAGGAGTTGCCTAAAATTCACACCAGGGAGCCCGTGTATGAACCCTTCTGCCTATGATGAACATGGAGCCCTTGTCTTAACCACAGTCTTGCTGTGGTTGGCATATGTACAGATATAACTTCATGCCAACTTGCAGACATCTTAGAGAGAGTGGCGTGAAAGGGAAAGGAGGATGTGGAAGGCCGGGAACACATCAACTTCATCAGTGTTTTCCAAAGGAACCAAGTCTCAAAAAACTTCAGAAAAGCAGATACCCTCCCATTTCCAGGAAACCCCAGGGAAGGTACAAAACTGGACCACAAGCTTTTGGGAAAAGTGTGGTGGTCTCTAGGAGGCTGCATAAGTTCTCTGAGAGAAAGTCATTCCATGCTAACCTCATTTCCTGTTTTGACGAGCTTCACCAGCACAGTCAATTAGGGGAATGCCCCAGAAAGTGTGTCTTGCTTTCAGTAAAGCATTTGAAAACCTCTCCTCCTATCCTACCTATATACAGTACAAGATGGGCTAGATGACAGTACCATTAGGATTCACAATTGGCATGATGAAACACTCCCAGACAAGACCAGCTCATGGCACCATGTCATGGTCCTGCTGACCTGCTGGCCTCAGAATCATCAGGCTTCCTGTCCACCATCAAGTGTAGTCTAGAATGAAACTCAGCTGTACCCAGGAGGAGGTTGAGGACCCCAAGGGGACAGCATTAGCCTGAGGTTGGACAGCAGGCATGTCTTTGAGGGGAATCAATATTTAGGAGAGCCACACAGCTCTCCCCGGTATTCTGTCCCACCATCCATTTTAAGTAAGTTTTAAAACTAACGTGGAAGGAGACACGAAAGACATTATCTGTCAAATTTGCAAATCACACAAGGCTCTGAGGAAGAAATGTCCCTGAAGATTCAAGGATCAAGGATTCAAAGGCTAAGATGAAACCCAACAGAACAGGTGAGACGCTGTTTCTATTAAAAACACAACCTTCTGTAGGAGTTAAAAAAAAAAAAATCTCTGTGCATTTGCTCCCAGTTGTGACACTAAACACTTGAGTGTGAGCCAGGGATATGAAAACCGAATCTTCACTTTTTAATTCTTTCCTCTGTCACATTGAGCTCTTTCTCAGGGTGTTCAACAGGCATTCCCAATCCCTTCCCTGTGATCTAAGAGCCTCGGCGTGAGAGCAAAATAAACCCAAGGTGATAGAGTGCTTTAAAAAAGGGAAAGCTCTGAAATTCAAAATAGTATTATTCTGTGTTGTAAGGTGCTTTCCCTCCAACAGAAAAAAAGAAAGAAAGAAAGATTGAAAATCTGACAGTCTGAGTGATAAGCAGAATATGATTCAGCTTTGGCTTCTGTTTCTTCATCTCTAACCCCAAACTGATAGAGCTGGCTCAGCCTCCTCCCTGAGCCCATTTCAAAAGCTGTGCGTCTTCAACAGTGGGACTTCAGGATCTCTTCTCCAAAAGTTCGGTTTGCACGCTCCTAAATTCTTGAATTACACACATAGGTTCAGAAGGCTCCATTTGCAGGGCTGGGTCTCCAAAGGGGCAAAGGCAGGAAGCTACCTGTGCCACATGATGGGGGTCTGGACCTGGGACTCTTGCAGAATACTTTAATTTCTTTTTAATCATTTATGCAGGCAATGTTTCCTTGCTGCTGCTCAAACTGCAGATGCCCGTGCCGGCCTTTGTGAAGTTATCAGGCAGAGAGAGTTAACTGGAACTCCTTCCAGGTTCCCCAGTGTTTCCCTAAGCAGTTAAGAGCTCACCCTCCCCTGGGCCATGCTAGCCCATGAACTTCCCATGACACTGCGGTTTCATGATACATACGCATACGTTGTCCTCTGAGCCATCCAATATGCCAGCCACAGCCACAGGACAATACTTAAATTTAAATTAATTAAGGTAAAAAAGAATTAAAAGTTCCAGTCCTCAGTTGTGTAGACTTTTTTTTTTTTTTTGGTCTTTTTGAGACAGGGTCTCCCTGTAGCCCCAGCTGTCCTGGAACTCACTATGTAGACCAGGCTGGCCTCGAAATCACAGAGATCCACCTGCCTCTGCCTCCCAAGTGCTCGGATTAAAGACGTGCACCACCATGCCTGGCATATTTTAAGTGTTCATTGGACAGATGTAGCTGATGGATACAGTTAATGGCACGGTAGCCATAAACCAGTGTTGTTCAGTCTTGGCTCTGCCTTGAAATACTTGAGGCATTTTCAGAATAATTGTGTCTGCCTCCTCATGCTTCCTACCTCCAAAGTCTGATGTTTGAGGCCCAGGTTGGGCCTGGATGTTGATATATTCTTTTTATAATTCTTGAGAAATTCTATCATTTGGGCAGGGTCAGAAATCATCCTAGTCTTCTGGAATTGTGCGATCAAGTCTCTCTTGCTTTTTCTCTTGTTATATTTAGGAACTAATTATCCCATGGACACTCTATGGGTTATTTTTGGTTCTCCACAAGCCTATGACTCCCATTTTTGTTTATGAGGCCATAAACAGTCTTACTGGGTAATATGGGGAAAATGAGCATCATCTGGGAAATGATATACCATACGGTGCCAGGGTAAGGGCATGCCCAGAGAGGGCAGACTTAGGACTGTGTGAGCCCCTGAAGGACACATGCACAAACCTGGATTTGGGTCTGAGTTTCTTGTCATTCTCTGGGGTTTTGGCCGTGCTCCCCGTGTGGCCTCTCCACTGTGCCTTCCTTCTCTCCTAGAGCCAGGACAAATGGAGCCAGCACAGGAAATAGAGTCCCAGGACAGGGCAGGGCTTTGGACTCATTTCTTCTGATCGTTTTAGTGTCACCCTGAGGGAAGCTACAGCTGGAGACACCCCACTGAGGATATGTACCCTCCACAACTCGATAGCTTTTGATTTTCCAGGAATATCAGTAAAGAAGCTTGGACTTGAGGACATGGGTGAGCAAGGGGAAGCTTGGTTCTGACGAGCATCTGACTGTGCAGGCAGCAGAGGGCTCATGACCCACCCCTCCTGCTAAGCAGCAGGCTGGAGGAGAACCTGGCTCCTCACCCTGCCGCTCCAGCGACCAACTGCAGAGATGGGGGCTCAGGTACATTGCTCACCAACAATGGCCGGAATACAAGTATGCTTGTTGCTAAGTTGCAATGAGATGATGGACCCAGGGAACACATTTGCTGTACAGAATCTTAGAGGCTAACTGCTGTGGACAAACTGGGGCATAGGGCAGTACAACTACTTCTATAAAGAGGAAGCGGGGAGTACAGAGAGAAGGACTAACAAAAAGCAAGCAACGAGGATCAGTGAAAATCCTGGATAAGTTCCATGAAGAAAATAAGAGAGAGACAAGAGATGGCAGGGTGTGGTGTCTCTCAGGACTTGGTGTTTGGGGAGGCTTCCCAGGGTCTCCACGTTTGGGTGACAGGTGGATAAGGTCACTGGACCATTCACCCAGGGCACCTGATAAACCTACTGATGCCAAGAAGCATGAATCAGTAAGCATGATCATTTAAAGATATTCTTGGATGTCCGCTAAGCTTAAAAATGAAAACCCACAGAGTCTGGGGAGGTGACTACAAATGTCCTTTTTGGCCACATCCCCAGGACAGTCATTTTGCCTAATTTATAGTTGGGGCGGGGGGAAAGGGGAACCCTGTAGAAGGAATGCCTGGCCATCGAACCATTCAAAGGATGTTTAGGAGGTAGTCCCAGAAACTCAGATCTAAGGAGTAGATGTGGGAAATCAGAACATCTGGACAAAATGCCTGTGATGAAGACACACCTCCTCACATCACTTCTTGAGCCGTCCCTCTCTTTATGTGGGCTGCACAAGGCAGGGAGTTTGGAGCAGAGGATATCCCATCTGCACCTTGTCTGTAGAACTCGGCACACAGTAGGCCCTCAAGAAATTGTTATGGAATGAATCTGCAAATGGGTGACAGATATTGGTAGAGGGAAAGAAAGAACTGAGAAGGAGGTTTCCAGTTGAAGCTCAAGGTCGGGATGATGTCAAGGCCAGTTATAGTCTGTGACCTGCATGGGCATGGAAAGACATTTACATACGAATCCCAATGTTTTCAAATGTCAACCTGCCAACAGTTACTCTAGAGAGATCTTCTAGAAAGACATAAAAAGTAGGACAAGCATGGCTGAGCAAGATGAGATTCAAGCTCAACCGTTTTAAAGATGCCATGGTGAGCTGTGTGGTTATAACAAAACTTGTAACCTTGAAGAAAGTCACCTCAAGTTCAAGTTTAGTGTCCTTCAGGTCAGCGTTTCTGTGTAGCTGATAAACACACCATTCAGTTTTCTTTAGTTTTGCTTTTTAATGAAGGTGATCAAGACATAAGAAGCTAGCCAGATCAATGGGGAAACAGCTGGTGAAAACCAGGATCAAAATATCACAAAATACCAAAACATCATAGCCCCGATACCAGTGGACGTGGCCCACCAGAGAGAGCCCACGATGTTTAAAATCCATTCCCAGGGGAAAACATCACCTGCCTTCTGGATGCAGTTTCGATCAGTGGGCAGCAGGTAGAGGTGTTGGTGGGGGTGCAAGTCCTGATTTTTCTGTGTCATTTTCGATCAACTGTGTCATAGAGTTTCCTGTTTCATCTCCCAGTTATTCTGAAACAAAAACATGCATGAAAAACATAGGTCACTGCCAACCGCATTGAGACAGTCACTCCAGTACATGGAAACCGAAAAGGGAAAGATATCATAAATACCACCATGAGGTGGGAGGGTCAACCTGATAAAATATCTAGTCACACAGTGAGAACAGAAATTGCAGGGTGATGGTGAGGTGGAGCATCCATTTAAAAATCATTCAGAGAGACCATAAAGGCAAATGTTTCCTTTCCAGAACCCCATTGCTTTGTTTGGGGGGGCACCCTGCTGTGATTTCCCATCCCCCTCTTTCTGTTCTTGTTGATTTGGCTGGAGTCACGTAGGACTCACAAGACAGCCCAAGATATACCTTGAGCTCCCTCCTCCAAGGACCCAAAGAGACTGCAGCAAGGTTACCATGAAATTCCATCCCAGTGAGGTCCAGAACCGCTAGTCACCGTTCCTCTAGTTCTCTCTAAGATAAGTATCTCCTCAGAATGGCTGCCTCTCAAGAATATCCTCCACTAAGGAAAGATTCATTTGAACTTTTATCAAGCAGCCTCCATGAGGGGAGAAGCCAGGCCTCCAAGGAAGCAAAGATCTCAAGGACAGCACAGGGCTGACAAAAGCTCCAGAGACTGTGGTTCTGTTAAGAGCAGCATTGCTGTTTGAGGCCCATGTGGTCGGCCTCCCAAGATGCACCCTGTTTTGCAGAAGATCAGTCTCAGCTCTCCCAAACAAGTGAAAGGGTATTTCCAAAGACAGAGAGAAGGCAGAGTCGATTCAGAAATGCAGATAGTGACATGCCCCCAAAGGGCACACTGTAGCCCCACAAAGCCAGCTCTGCACTTAAATCTGCTGCTCAGTCACATTCAGGAGGGAGCAGGTTTCCCATGGGATGGCTGGAGATGGTGGTCCCATGGGAGAAAGGGAAAATCCAAGCTGGCCACTGTTTGCTGCTGTGATCTCTGAATAGTACTGTTGATGGCTAAGAAGGCAAGCAGTACTCAAAACTTCCTTAGGCATTGCTCTGTCCCCTCTACATACAATCTGCCCAGGACCCCTCCCCTCTCCAGGGCCTTCTGACAATGACCCACATTTTCTGCAAAATCTGGGGGAGAATGCATGACTTTTGGAAACACTCTATCCTTCCCCTAGAGACCCCTTCACAATACATAGCAGCACACAAAGGACGGGAGGAGGTAGGAAATAAGGAAGACTGCTCGGCCCAGTTCATTGTGTGCTTCCCAATGAGCCCTTTGCCAGCAGGCTGCTGCTGTGTGGTGTTAGGAAGTGCTGCGGAGCTGGGAGGTCTGGTTGGACTTCTCCTAAGGATCCTCTAAAGGCTGCAGGCCACTAAGAGCAAAGCTTCTCAGGCTCAGAGCCCTTGCTATAGAGACCCACAGCAATTGTGACAATCTATTATCTCTATTTTCCCCAAACAGCCCCTTTGGCCAGGGGCAGTGGGAAAGTGACCTTATTGTGAGCTGAGGAACCTAGCCATGAGACACCTACACAGGAGGAACAGCGCCCCCCCCCCAATGAATCTCTTGGGAAAAGCAGCTTCCCGTTTTGTGTCCTGTGAGCCAGCATTTTCAAACAGGGCTCACAGTTCTCATCTGGCCTAGGATTTCATCTGCAGCGCCTTCCTGGGTGGGCAAAGAGAAACAGGAACTAAGTAACCAGTGGCTGACATGCGTGGAAGGGGAAACCGGATTCCTTTAGTTCCACCACTGAAAAGAGAGGCAGCTGACAAAGTTCTGAGTGGGATGCAGGGCCAAAATACAATGGCCCCAGGAGCAAACCCAAAAAGGTGACCTGGACTGGAATCCCAGAGAGGTGTCAAGGCCTTAGAGATGGAGAAAGTAGGCACATGGGAGGAATACATGGGAACCCTTTCCAGGATTACACTGGAAGGGACACAGCTGGATGGGGACTTGGGTCTTTCCCTCCTAGTTCCCATGGGCCAAAGTTGAGGAGTTTCTTAAATTCCAGCTCCCTGCTACAGGGCCTGAGCTAGCTGATCTGGGAGCTTTTGCATGGATGAACCCAATACTTGGGGCCTCCATGTTAGCTAGCTACCTAGTTGTCACTGGAGAAACCCAGGGTAGCCCATCAGGAAACTTTAGATACTGAGAGTAGGTAGAGACCACCCAGGCCAACCCAGTGCTGGGACAGGCCTAAAGCGGTTTCTGGTCACGTAAGGCCATGTTACTGTCCGCTTTGGTGAACTTCTCCATCCCTGTGGGTCTCTAATATTCACTGTTATGCCTTCCCACTATGGGTCACCACTTCATTCTCCCCAAAGTGTCATGGACAGCCTTGGGGCCACACACCCCACACTGAAGACAAGCCCTATTTAAGACCACAAATGTAACTCAGGCTATTTTCTGGATGCCCACAGAGTCAGTTCCCAAATCCAACTGGTAACCAGAGGAAGGACGCTGGGCTTGGGACACTGAATACTAGACAGGAACAGCTCAGGCACCCATCCAGTGATCCCTACCCCCAACTGGATAGCTGTGTCCTCCCTCGAGTGGATCTCTGCAAGCCTCTGCTTTCTGGGGGATGCAGAGACCACAGACCTCCATTTATTTGATGCAACCTCCAAGGTATAGCCAACACCTCCCTGCTGAGAAACCAGACCAGGGCCCCAGACACCCACGTGTGAAAGATAATTCCACTTTGCCTCGCCCCTTCAGAGTGCTGAGGTCTCCATCAACCCACAGGAAAATGACCAGTGAGGGCTCCTTGCACTCTTTGGCTGGCTTGGTGGGATTCCGATCACATCGGAAGTCAATCTTTTGAGATTTGGAGGTAATTTCCAAGGTCAGCAGGCCTGCTCATGGTACCACAGTGTCCTTGCCTCAGAAGACCATTTTAGGAATGATGACATGGGCTCTTTGGGTCCATCCTAGGCTTTTGTTCTGCTAGAGGTGTCCAGGAAGGGAGCAGGGCATGAACCCTTGAGGCTGCCCTGTCTCCTATGGGGCTCCTGTATCCAGAGCTGCATCCATGTACCCCTGAGCAGTCTTTTGCAGTGGCAGGAGAGGGCTCACCTGAGAAGCAACTTCTACAGAGGGCTCCGTGCATTATTATTGCCAACACACCCAGGTGTCCTTAGCCACCACAGACTGAGTACAGTGTTCTTGATGTTTGTTTTCACTCAAGCTTTGCACCAGATCTCTCGGGAGAGTGTGTCAAGGCCATCTCTCTCTCTCTCTTTTTTTTTTCCATTTTTATTTTATGTGCATGAGTATATCACCTGCATATATGTAAGTGCACCCATGTTGCGCAATGCCCATGGAGGTCTGAAAAAGGCATTGGATCCCCTGGAACTGGAGTTACAGACACTTGTTAGCCACCATGTGAGTGTTGGGATCCGAACCTGGGTCCTCTGCAAGAGCAACCACTCCTCTTTACTGCTAAGCCATCTCTCTAGCCCCAAGGCCATCTTTTCCTTGGCAGAGCCAGAAGCATGAGGATACCCCAAATCTGGCAGGCAGAAAGTGACAGCAATGCCCAGCTTTTTATCCACCAGACTGATAAGCATGTTCTGTGCCTCCTGAGATGATCAGGTGCTCACAGGTGATTCAAACCCCAGAGCCTCAAGGACCTTGCAAGTTGGCCAACCTTTTACTATCAAGAGGTACCTCTAACAGCTGTCTCAGTTTATACCAAAAGTAAAAACAGCCAAAGGTCCACATCTCAATGCTAGCCTCACTAAGTTATCTTCTGGTCTAATCTTTCCACACCCTTCATTATGGCTACTTTCTCCATGTGTTAGTAAAAGCCATTTTTTTTCAGAGAACAAAACCTCATGGACACTTTACAGATTTATAGCCTGGATGACTTTGTGAGAGACCAAAATTACAGATAGCCCTACTCTACAGTCACTGAGAAGTGCCAGGAGCCTTTGAAAAACTACATTGACCTCTAAGACTGTGTTGCAACAAATGAGGAGAACCTCAGCCTTCTGGGAAAACAGCCCAGAGATTCCAGGAGTCAAAGTCTTTCAGGCATGCCCTTCACCCCTGGCTCTAGACAACCATTCTTAGCCTGGGTCTCTGGACTAGCAGCAGCACTGAGTCACCTAAGGACACATCAGAAATGCAAATTCTCAGGCTTCACTCAGGATCTTCTAATTTGGAAACTCTGAGGGTGGAGCCCTTCGCAGTGGTGGAGAGGTTGTTCTCCCAGCCCCCAGGTGATAAGAGGTACAAGAGCCACTTTGGCACACGATGATCTACTCCGAACGGCAGTCTTGGACTCTGGGCCAGGGACTCTGCTCTCCTGACCTCAGTGACCACACCTGGCCATCTGTTGATGTCTACAGTTTAGGTAAACCATATCCAAGCCACTCAGCATATGACCCACTCCCAAGATCCCCATAGTGGGCAGGAAGCAAATTCAACTCAGAAAACATCCAGAGTTTGCCATAAGTTCTTGGGGTGATCATGGGGGAATGTTGGAAAGGATTCATCCCTCCATCTCCTGTTTGAGATGTTGCATATGTGTACATCTGTGCACACGATGGGATCTTGAACCCCTGCTGGTGATGTCCCCTACCTCAAACTGCTCCACCAGTCCTGCCTCCCCCTATCGCTGCCTCCTCTCCTCAGCCCACACAGACCCATGAGAACACCTGACCCTGAGGTCTCTTGACATTTCTGTTCAATAGGAACAGGGCTGTGTTTTTGCCAGCCCTGCAGGTCTTGCTGCCACCCTGGGAAGGAAGGTAGATGCGAAGCCACCCACCTTCTAGTCTAGTCACACTGAAATGTCACTACATAGGTACCAGACACCAGTAAAAAACTTGTGATGGGACAGGTAGGAGGCTTAGAAGAATAGGCAAAAATGTAGGTTACAAAATAGTTTGTCTAACAATTAAAAAAAAAAACTAACCTCATACAGGAAGTATGAGAAAAAGAAGAAAGAAAGCTGAAAAAGAAGAAAAAAAGAAAAAGAAAAACAAGCTAGAAAGAAGTGCAGCATGCTACAGATAAAATGTTTGCTTC